ACCATATTCGCGGACGCTCTAGTCCCTGTAGTCATCTGAGGGCAGGGAGAATAAGTATAATCTCATCAGCATTGTCTTGCAGTGCGTTTATTATCAATGCGCTCAGTCTGTCAAGCTGCGACAGTAACTAAAAGGAACTTGAATGGTTCCTTAATCGAACACTTCAGTTCTATTTGTTTTTAACTTATTCCTTTAACACTTTATATTATACCAGTAGTAATTTCCAAATGCAAAAGTAAAACAGATCCAATTCAATGTCCACAGTTCAGCTTAGTATTGTCACCTCATTTGGTTGCAGTTACTTATGGATTTATATGAGTAGCCTATATATAGAACGGACAACTTGTATTTTATTCACTTTTCTATTAGGCTCTTAATTATATGCCAGCGACCTGCATGCAGGCTTGTTGCACACGTTGTTATCACACGGCATTATCGCTAGTTTATCTTTAGCAGGACAATGTGATGAACCAAGCGTGTGACAGAGTCGTGTTTAAACGACAGTTCGCGTGCAGAAGGGGTTCATACGTCCCAAACTCATAATAGGCAGATAAGAAATCACTAAGTTATCTATCCGTAATATGAAGACACACTACTCAGTTTCACGTGAAAAAATTGGAAAATCAGACTGCAGACCACTCAGAGACTAAAATCTAAAAGGCTAACATTTATATTGCTGTTACCTTCTTAGCTAGAATGGCCTGCAATCTTCTAATAGAAGACGCAAGCTCCTATATACATTTAGCAGTTCGTGACGCTCACTGACTGTTCGTTAGCAACGAAACCTTCGCCATACGCTTTTATTGATAGCGGTAAATCTTGTAACACATAGCCGATCTGTATACTGTACACTTTATGCTAAGCGCACTGTAGTAATTAGTGCACATACTGAGTGCTCAGAGTTATCGCATCCAATATTGTCTCGCAATGTTCCCAGCCATCTTTCTCATGGTGATGCAGTGAACATTTAGGCGAAGTCCTGTTACCGAGTTGAGCAAAATAGAATAGTCTTCTGATCTTGGCCTAATAACCCGATCGGAACAACTATACCAGTTTGAAGATTACTTTTTCGTCTTTCTAGGCAGACAAAATGTTCTCTTGAAACTGATATCTTTCGCTATTTGAGTTGTTCATTATGCTGTTGTTGGTTACTATGCTTTGCCAAAAGTATTAAAAACAAAGCGGCTAGCCTTATTTCAGATCTTTCACTTGTTTCGGTGCATCAAGCTTAGCAACGACCCGGCTCTCGCATTGTTCAATATAGGGTACCGCATCGATGTTCCACTGCTCTCGTCGATCGCACAAGACTCTGGAAGGAGTAGAAACAAACACCGCCTGGAATAAACAGGGTCTATTACGCGCAGGTCTTTCTGTGGCGACTGTTATTAATAGACCAAAAACGAAAACTTCCAATTACAGCTTCTAAGTAGACCACGTTCGTGCACAGCGGCTTAAGTTGGAGGCAAACGTTAACAAAGACATTGGAATGCGCTGTTTGTTAATCTATCCCTTTTAGGACTATATCAAGAGCTGTAACCATACTGACAAACAGTTCAGCTCACGAGTCTGTGTTAATAAATAAATAAATAAAGCGAATCATCTTTAGCGCATCTAGTACCTAGTATAGAAGTAGTTCAACAACAGGATTCATTTCAATGAACTTCGCAAAAGCCCGAGAGAGGTAACATTTTGTGGATTAAATTTAATAAATGCATCTCTCAACAAAACTCGATAACGAATCTTCAAGATAAGCTCGATTAGTTATAGTAAGGTATGACTTATCTGCTAATACGTTCTATTAGAGGTGACCATTATACATGATATGATCGAGGGCAAAAGCGAAATACTTTAATATTTCCATCAATTTTTGTATTTGACCTCTAGTTTCTGTTTATTTCATTTTCCGAAAAGAAAAATGGTTTACCACCGCACGACGATTTACGCAAGCTTTCCCGTTTTCGGTACATAAGCGTTATTCATTAGATTTAAAATGCGTCCTACGTTCTATCGTGGACTTGATGCCGTCTCTGGCAGCATATTATAGAATTAGGATACACCATGCATGTTCTTGTCTTGTGATCGAAATGCTTTTCACTATTGTATGTTAAATAGGCGTCTACGCAGAAGTTACATCAAAGACTTGAGATAGGATAAGTTGAACATTAGAAGCTTTTCTGCTGTAGGGTATGTGGACATGACTTGAATTTTTCACAGCAATCATTTTCTCTAATTTTGGTTTTTCGACCCCGAGGCCACGTAGCTTAGGAAATGTTCGATATTGTCGTAGCTTTTTACTTTGGAAACTTTTAGAATCTAATTTATTTAGCTGCTTGCAGACCTCAGCGTTTCGTGGTCGAACAGCCACCCTCTGTTGAACAGCTACGAGGGGAATTAAATGATTAGCATTATTCAGTATGCCTATTATTAATATTCGTAACTTATAAGGGTTTTATACAGTATCTACTAAAGAGAAAATCAAACATTTTAGACGTATAAGGGTCATTCCTATAGAAGTCGGATCGATTTTTTTTTTTTTTGCTTTCAGGAATACAACATTCAATACGTTTCGTTTGAAGCGAACTATTGATTACAGACTATCCAATTTATACATGGTATAGTCCCACAGCGAAGATTCTCATATGCGTTTAACAATCTATAGTAAATGCCAGATCTCAACACCTTCACACATCTTTTTAGGCGCAGGATAGACGCAGCTAGCTAGCTTACTATGCCCTAAATTTTAAAAAATTTTAAATTTCTTTTCCTTTTTTTACAGTTGCAACCTATAGGAGATATACTACTAACTCGGATAATAAGGTCGACCGTTTCGCTTGTATATATTCTTTTCAAGCTTTTAAGTAAACTAGCAAAGGGTTGGTTACCTAGCTTGGTAGCTTTGACGTGACAGAAACTAACAAGAGCTATTTAGCTTTATTTCAGATCGCATTTACGTTTGTTTATCGCTGCATTAATGGTGCAGTTATGATTTTTACAGGTCAAAGGCTCCAAATCGATATATATATATATATATATATATATATAAAGACATATTTACCCATTTTGGTACAGTTCCGCCTTTTTTTTTTCCGACTTTTTTTGTGAATGCTTTGCTTTGTAGTATCAAAGGTAGCTAGACATGTGATAAAACAAGCACAGTTCTTTGTTTTTTTCTGAGCTAACGGTGCAAACTATGATCCGTTTGGAACATTATGATAGGAAATCTATATGCTCGTGTATTAAACTTGTGTTTTGCTTTTTAGATTTTTTTTGAAAGCTACATAGTTTAGCTATTAAATGAAGCGCTCCTCTACTTCTGCTGCAAAACTAATGCTACTTTACTGTCAATAAATCTCTCCAAGGAAATCGATTATACGTCCGTGGCAACTTATATACTAACCGTTTAGGAGGTAACTATGTAACCTCAGTTCGCGGTTACCCAAAGGCCGTGGGGTACCGTACGCAAGCTTCGTAGCGGACATAGAAGCACAGGCAGATAGCTCGGCTGAAAACAGCGTCCGGCTCGCCATTGATGAGTTTCTAATTGCAAGGGCTCTAATGGGCGTAAGCAAACTACCCGTTTTAAAGGAAACATCTTTAATCCCTCTATTTTGCTTGTTTTTGCAAACAGGACACGTGTGTATGCGGATAATGCATACTGCGCTCAGTATATGTAACGGCTGACAGCACATACGCCGTGAGTCGTGCACATGTACTTATCTATGTAAAATGATAATGTCAATTGCATTTCGTCGTGCAGCTCGAATGTTATACTATAATTATTATTTAATCTGTTTCAATTGTTAGTATGGTCACGATCTTTACGGACCCTGCCGACAGAATGGTTGCATGAGTTACAGGGTCTGTTTAAGAAACTTCTTCATAAAATGTTCCATTTTTATCGTTGACCCTTCGTTATCTAGGCGTTCCAATCTAATAGACGACGATGCATGCGACTGGCGTGGGTTGTAATAGATTTTTCTTCGAGTCCGGCCGATAACCAGTCTCATCAAAGAACACCGACTCGCGTCTCCCGACCAAGCCCTGTCACGCGCTAACAAAAAATTCTTTGCCTCGCAAAACTAGTTTGTTTCGGCAAAGCCACGATATTTTTGGTAGGCGCATCGTAAGTGAAGATAGCAATAAGACCCTGCTACGTTCTCAACGAATGGTAGACTTTAAAGACCAGACCAAAAAGAAAAACGCCGTTTTTGACCTAAAAAAAAAAGCTGAATCTAATTAACGAGTTTTCTTAATTAGACGAAATCCATTTGTTCTGCGATCGTAATCATCAATGGTAATATCCAAAGGCGATACTCACCTTGCCGTTGGAAAATTATGCGGTAACAATCGAACGAATGTAGGCATGAGACTTCGAAGATGGTGCATTCCGTGACGTCTGTAAGCTATGACTTTTGCGAATTTTGCAATATAAGTCCAAGAAAGGCTTCCAATTTGTACCTAGATCACATTTTTGCCAAAGAGCTGGAACTAAAATGGAATCATAACCTTTATTTAACATAATAGATTATGGAACACGAACCTCGACTTGCAGTGTGTATAGGCTTGTCCTGGTAGCGTCGGGTTAGTGCGTGAATATTTTCCACAAAAAATGTTTCGTGTAAATTTTGGAAAATCCAGGCATAATGGCTTTCTTTATGTTATTAATGAAGATCCGGTTAATGTCAGTTAACTATCTAGTCTTCTAAAGGATAGTAACTATTCTAATTTCTAATAAACTTTCCTGTCTCTTAAGTAACGGCCAATATCGGCTCATATACCCACTATGCATGTACTCTTTCAGACTTAGTTTAAACGGAACCTTTGGAAACCTTTCAGCGAAATTTTAACGTTTAAAGTGCGATCATATATTGTTAAATTCCTAGTTTTTGTTTCCAAAATTACTTTTGAAAAGACATATACATATATATGAGGGACTTAGCTACGAGCGAATGCAATGAAAACAACCGGTATTGTATTACACTGAAATTGTGTGTTTTATTTATTTCCTAATGATTGATAACAACGATGCATATACTTACGCAATGTTTACTCTTAATCGCCGCAATCTTAGTCGGTAGTGAAAGTAACAGCTGGGGTTCGTGGGACTCCCGGGGCTGCGTAGCACGCTGCAAAAAACTCGAAGAGACTCGGCAGTGTCTGGGCCGCGACCCGTCCCCATGCTATGGCCCAATCCACCGATCAAGTTATGCGAATGTATGCTTGAGCCGATCGGTACCGGATTATAAATACCAACAGCTTCAGGAAGAGCTGTACGGTCTCGTACAACATCCGCTTTTAACACGCGTCCACGAAGACGGGCATCTTAAGTTGACGGTGCCTGAAGCTGTTAGGACACTACTTAAGAAGCGCGGTATCAAAATCGAAAATGGTTATTGGACGCGAAACTGGCAGCCACTCGTTGACGATGGCGGTGACTACCGTATACAGTCGACGCTCCACCTGCCCTATATTCGATCTTCCGACTACGGAATTTACGCGTTCGTGATGATGATCGAGAAGTACCAATTAGTTGCTACTCTTAAATCGGTGATGGTTATGTCGTCGGAGAATATCATTGACATAGCAAAAAATGAATCAACAAGCGCTTTGCCCTGCCTCTTAAACCCAGTCAACTGTTTCACCTACAGGTAAATAACTTACGTAAGGAGTAAGATGACTGCTTATAAAATGTCGCTATTCTTTTATATTTCAGCCGGGACCTTTGCGAATGAACAAGTTCACGAACCCCGACTCAGTGAAATAAGAGACTGAAGTGAGCACATTCAAGCCTCTAGCTGGAGATTAATATATAGCTTATAAACATTTATGCCAGGACCACCTCAACAGGTCTAGGACGAACCAGAACGTTTTGCTTAAGGTATTTCTATGAAATGTTAGCAGGTTAGATTTGAGACATGTTTTGGCTTCTTTACATTGTCAGTAACTCTTCCAAATTTACTCCAGGAAACTTCGCTTCGAGATAATGATGATTTATAAATGAAGAACGTAACATGCTCTGTATTCCCCCTTGTAACTACCAGGACGTCTTCACCGCAATATGTGGAACCTTTGTTCCAACCGTAACTGTTGGTAATTGGAGGTCGTAAGTGCACAAGTTTTCAGCGTAAAAACTCAAGCAAATCCTTGCCACAGATCCTTCAGATCGAGTTTAAACTCTTTACTATCCAACGGCGGAAAGCATCGAGAAAAAGATTTTGTGATGGTTAAATAATTTCGTGTCATTTGTTCACGAATCGTCTATTCGGTTATTGGACGGTTGGTTTATAGAATTGCGTTATAGATTTTGTTGCTTTTTAGTGGATTATTTTTTGTAACAAGTGCTCTTTCGCTTACCCAGTGGCTATGTGCTATGGTGAATTGCTCCTTCTGAGTTCTGACGACCATTCCATTTGACTTTTTGTCGCCTCCGCACCTGAACACAGCGGTACGTTTTTGGTACTTTTTGTAGTAGGTTCTAGTTCGGCCCTAGGTACTGGCTTATATTTTATTGAACTGTGGATTCTCAAGCAGCTTGAGGCCATAATAAGTCTTTCGAAGCGAGCTAATAGATTTGCAAAATCAATGGACGGTTCCGCGGCGAGCGAACTTGTCTCACCTGAACTCTACGCGTAAGACTGATCAATCTGGCAACCAAAATGACCTAACTAAACCACGGGTGTAATAGTGGTTGAAAAGGTTAAAACTAAGAAAGCTATTAAAAGATACAGCTGATGTATCTTTACCTAGCTCATGTTCTGATGTGCACATTGGGGCACGAAAGGTATTGACGTCACAGAAAAGTTCCGCAAACGTAGGCAAGAAAGAAATAGATGAATATTGGAAACCCTATTATTACGTTTCAGAAATTGTTAGATTGGGAATCACGCCCAAATAGCTGGCGAAACAAGTTCTACGGCTGTTCTCGAGATGAACTCTGACTGTATAGTCTAGTTCTATACACGCGAATATGACGTCGTGATATAAGCTGGAAGAATTGTCAAATGGTGGGCTCTGTATTAGTTCTAACGTAAACTTCCTCAAAGCTGTGTTACTAGTGTGATTAATCAAATTAACCGGATTGATTAAAGTCTTGTTAGATGATACGTAGGGCACCGTCACTAATTGTCCATGCTATTCCTAAAAGTAATGTCTTGTGAACCAAGAAAAAAAAATCGGCGCCAGATTTTTCTGTTGTCGTGTGATTCGTGTAACTACAAATCAGAGACGGTGTGGCATCCGAAGAGAGGTTTTGCATCAAAAGCTAAATGTTGAGTTATCACATCCAGAAACAATTATAACCTACCTACACAGACAATGTTTACCCCGCATCAAACTCTAGCTTTGTCAGTTCTTAAACCATCCTTGGTTACTTCGTTACAATCCGCCGTAGGAGCTAACGTTCAGCGGTTTTGTGATACAAGCAGAATTAAGCAACTTCTAGATCAAGTGACGTTGGCATCTGCAAGGCAAAATCGGATTGTCCTGCAAAGCGGTATTAAGTGGGCGTACTATACCGATAGCTATACCGACGTCGAATGAGATGCGTTCTTTAGGGGGCCTGAATCCTATAAGGATGAGGAAAGATACTAGAATGTGACTTGATCACTTTGTCCATCTATTTGCCGCTCAGCGACATTAGAAAGAAATCGATTCCGGCCAGACTGGAGCCTTTCTCTCAAATCAAAAAGTTTTTAGCTATCCAACGAGCAGTTAACGTATATTTTGTGTATACTGGGGTTCCACTAAGTTTTCAGATATGCTCATGAACCAATGGTGATTGATTGTGCTATCGTATAAATGACAATACTTTTCAGCACACCTGTACATGGAGCACCCTCGTTCATAATGGCGGTCTGCCAGCGTATCTGGAATCAGTATTTGTAGGATGACCTATTTCGTTGATGACCCATGCCGTGTGTGTCACGCTAATTTTTTAGCCGCAACAGACACTCCATCGAGCACTCCTTCCTCAACGTAATCGTCGGAATGCCCTCGCATTTAACCTTCCTTCAGGTCTTCAACAATTATACGTAGTTAATACGTGACATGATTGCTTTATCGGTTGATCACATACCCATTTGTTAGTACAACTACTGGATTATCTTCGCACGTACAATTTAAAGACGGTTTGTGCTAACACCTCAATTATCTACCGTGGCACTTGATAATATTAATAAGAGTGTGACATTATTTTCGGTCACGCTTCATGCATTGTGAGACTAGCGAGGCCACACGTACTTGGCCTCTACGAGTTAGGTACAGCTAATATGTACAAAAGTTTTGTACCGTTTGCATTTGTAGTGACGAAAACCAGTTGAACCTGAACTTGTTTCTTCTGTATATCTACAATTGTTAACTTTAAAGAGGTTGTTTTTGGTTTATGCTATCGGCTTATTATGCTTTCTTAATTTTCATTAGACATAACGTTTCTAGCTGTGCCATGTTTTGATAATTCTGCTTGTAAGTTACAATTGAGTTTTTCCCAGCCGTTTGCCACTTGTTAATAGATTTACAATATTTTTGGATGACCTAGTAGAGATTCTTGCCATAGGTTATTTCAGTAAACAAATGTGAAAGCTTACCGTATTTGGTAGTACACTAGGTAGAGCCATCTTGAATCTACCATTACTGCGTCTGTGACTACAGTTTAGAGTAGTTATCTACGTCTACAGCGGCCTCGAACAATAACTTATTCAGTTTGTATGGCTGGATCGGTTTTGTTCCGGCAACTCAGTATCAGAATATCGAACCCGAAAAATAGCTTTTTCCCTTTTTCCAGTTCACCTTAAATTTGACTTTTCACCACTCCTAAATAGTAGCTAATTTTGTACGTGGCGTTTTGACTAATAAGATCATATTATATATATCATACCGCAGCATTACATTGTCTAGGACGTGACTTCGGCGAAGGCGATGCAATTGTGCTACTTGAGAGTGTGTTGAGTTAAGCTATATATATATATATATATATATGAACATAGTCACCTATTCAGCATCGCATAGACTCGGCAGAGAGAACATGTTCTATCAGGAACCTGACAACAGTTTAACTATATACAACGTATTTGAAGTAACACTGAAGGCGCTGCATCGTCAAATTATCCAATAAACCATTATTGGGTGGATAGAGTTTTTATAAACTCTAGAGTTTTTATAAACTCTAAAAATATTAATAAATTACTATAATTACTAATTAAATAAAAAATCATAACGGAGCTAATCTTTTGAACACGACATTACGAGTGCTCCGAAAATTGCGATTATACAGAAGATGGCATTATCTTTTATCATACAAAGAATTATGTTTAGAAGACGGTGATATATTTTTAAAAATTCCAGTAATTGGAACTTTTAGAGAAACAAGAATCGAAACTAAGATTAGATATATTTTATTATACCTAAATTTCTAAGTCTATTTTGATTGAAAGCAAATTTAAGCTAAATAGAGGATTTTTAAATCATATATTTTTATATAAGAGATTTTTTTCTGTGAAGTTGTACGTCAAATCAAGATATGGTTAATTTAATGATACTGGGTTTTAAATAGTTTTATAAAGGAAGATTTGAAAGTAAAATTTATATTTCAAGAAAAATCTGTTCGTCACTTTCATTAAAATGCCAAAGTGTCCTTAAATAGAATACCTGATTTACGTATGAGTGTAATATTGTGTACATCTTTCAACGACAGCATATTATGGTATCGAGATGGAATCTTACAATCACATTTAAACAATTCGCGCGAGCTACGGATCACTGAAGTCGGGTGGACTTCAGCCATATGGACCTGCGCTGTCTTCGCTGAAGAACTTGAAGGCGAACTTAGCTTAACTAGCTATCAAGTACGCACGGTCTCATTTATCGTTTTCTTCCGCGATCTGTTGCTACCACAATATCAGGTGTGCAATGAATCAGGCAGGTCGTTTAATTGTATGTTCATTAAACGCAAGCTAAACATTACGCCGGTCGTAAAATTTTAAGGGTCAAGCTTACCAATAGCAAATTTCGCAGTCCGTTTAGTGTTCGGATCATCCTGATCGCCGAATTTTATCTTTAGAAACACTCCCGTGACGGATAATTGTTTTCTTCTAATGCATTCACTTCTGTTTTACTTACAACTAATTGACTGCATTACCTGAACATTTGTCCAACTAGCTCTTTCTACAGTTGAGATCACTTTCACATAATATACAAGACATTCGTTTCTCCTTTGTTAATTTATTGTCCACGGTAAATTATCGGGTAAGGCTGTGCGTTACAGTTTTCGTTTGCAATTCGGCCTTTATACGTAATTACAGATTGGCCTGATCGCGTTTGGCGGTGTTGTTGCTGTGAGTCTCTGCACTTGTGCACTTTGGCCCAGCGGCGAAGATGAGGAACCGATGTCCGATGAGATGTCAAGTCGTATTGAGAGGCAGTCCGGTGGTTCGCTGGTGGAGAGCCGCTTTGATACTTGGAGCTTTCTATAGATATTGTTCGTACCTGAACAAATTAAAACATGGGACATGGACGTTTGATGTGTTCTTTCTATAATTTGTCGACATAGAGAGATAGTTCTCCACGAAGCAATACTACATGTTCGGTAGCTGAAGAATACGCCGAAACCCAAGCAAACGTATAAAGCACAAGTTAATGCAATATGACTAAAACTGCGCCAGTTTGATCAATCGTCACCATAACTTCTTAACCCTCTCAACTTTTGCGGTTTTTGGGCGAGAAGGTGTGGCAGGCGATTTCTGCATGCCTCGACTGAAACGAGTTAACAACATTCTTTAAGAAATTGAAACTGACGGCAGAGGTATATGGCGAATGTATTTAAATTTCTCATCAAAATTTTCTCAATTTTTGCCGGTTGCTCTGGCACTGTTAATGCAAAAAAACGCCACCCTTTCCCTTCACTAGTTCCGACGAAGCGGCTTGTTGTAATCCTGGTAGCTGTTGACAGTAGAAACCCGAATCAATCATATTACCAGGTGACAGTAGCTCTTCATGCACGATTCCTCTCTACTCTTATCCGACAAAAACCATCGCTTTCCCGGGCGTCGATCTGGGTCTTGGCATACATTGTGAGGAACTCTTTATTTGCACGTTTTTTTTTGGCTCGATTTTGTTTCGTTTGCGTAGAGTTTCGCCCAATGGAAAAGCAAAAGATTTTACGTCCATTCGTGTGGCATCCACACATCGAGCTTCTTGATGCAGCTGGCCTACTCCAGCTGCTTCAAAAGCAGTTGCTGTTCAGCTCCTTAGTGATGTCACATTTCGATTTTGCTCAATTTTAGCAGCACTATCTTCAGTTTTGCTTGTAATTCGTCGATCACTGCGAAGATGATTTGTTTGTTGTAAAAGAAGAGATCGCGTGGCAGCAACTCAGAATGCACGACTCGTATCTCAGCAGATGCCTATTATCACCTACTTTGGCCTCAGCATCAGCTTTGCCACATCTTAGAAGCATCTTTCACATTGAAATTTTATCGAACAAAAGCGCCAGCCTTTAGCCCTGTTATTCGAATATCTGTAACAATGCATTTCTGATATCCTTGGAACTTGCGTCTTTGTCGAGATAAAACTATGAAATATGGCACATTCTTGCAGAAATACCATTTATCACCTCATCTCAGATTAGGTACTATAGGCTGGCGGTTTTAGTATATCTGTTGCTATCGAATATTGGCTCTAATGATACCAACATCGATCGACGCGATTCATATTATGTGAGGTGCGGGGCTTCGAAGTCACCTAGCTAAAAAAGATCGTCAATGCTTTTTCGGCCACCCAACATGATGTAATAGAATGTGGTATCGAAGTGAGTAGGAGGTAGGAAAACTAAATTTGGAAACAGAAATAAGTGTTTTATGTGTATAAGCACTGAGAACAGGAGCTAGCTGTTCTTAGTCGGCCAAGCACAGTTGTTCTTAAAAAGAAATATTACGATATTGAGCTTTGCATTTGTTCAATGAGCCGGTAGTAATTGTTTGTCGCAGTTCTGTCAGTTCTCCACAATCTTAATGTACTTGTCAATCAAGGTTCGTGTTCACCTTTGTAAATAGGCTTTGTAGGCTTTCAGAAGCAGGTTTTCTCTCCTCTCCTAGCGAAAGAGGTATATTAATTTGCCGCGTTGGACCACGTGCTGGATTAATCCTATTTCAGGGACATGCAGTTAATGAAAACGTCAATATGTTTCTCAATTACGATCACCTCTGTGGGCTGAATGATGTATAAACATGTATAATTTTATTTATAACAAGCAAGGGAACACTTCGTTTTCTACGACGAGAAACGTAATCACAACTTAATCTACTTATCGAACTTTATCATTCCAATTTTGCCGGGCTGCATGGATAATCATCAGCCCTTCGACTGGTTTATTGAGAGAAATATAAGCGATCACGTATAACCTATAACGTTAATTTTCACTTGTCAGTGACCTTTGGCTTCGCATAAAATGATCTGGGTTCCAGAGGCAGTAAGTAGCCACGTTGGGTATGCTCACGTTATTTTACTGCTTTCGAATCAGATATTTTTCTTTGAAGCTGAATCAAAAACGTAATAAAGGTAACTCCCCCCTTAGCGATATATACATAGGAAAGCGTAGAGCTTCCTTTGCTATTCGCTAAAATAGATAGAGGATAAAAAAGACTAGAGGAACCTTGACATGCTGAAGATAATACCTTAGACAGCAGCCAGAAGTGTGCAACATACGGTCTAAACGTGTAGATATCGTAAATGCTATTCGTAGTGCCTTTCTAAAAAAAATATTATTATTATTATTGAATTTGGTTATGCATGAAATATATGTGTTAGTAATTTTTTAGGTAATTTATTACTGTCAAAAAAAGCGTTCAAAGTGTTAACTTTGTTTACTTGTGTCCATAGCTAAAACAAAAATTCATATGCGAACCGTCATCGCGTCGGCCTAACGTTCCTTCTTTAGTTGTTTACTATATAACGAAAAACCAGTAGCGTCTACTGGCGGTTATATAGTTCGCGTTCAGTCTCCCGAAAGCAAGCTATTGCTATAGTATTTGTCCTGGCTATTTAAAAGGTAAATGACCGCTTTTTTCTTATCAGTCAACTTGCAGCGATGCACATACGTTATTTATACATGTAGATAGACAAAGGTATTGTCAATCTCATACGGAACATATTCGCTCCTTCTACTATTAAGGCAGATATTACTAGGTCCTTCAGTCCAAATTCAACAATTCGCGTAAGCGCATAGGAAAAGCTGTGAAAACAACGATTGGACGCTACGATCGTTTTTGTAAACGTAAATAGCGGAAACATGTATCGATGAACAAAGAAGCGAGTCGTGGTTCTCTACTCCGTTCTAAAAAGGAAATACCGTAACCTGTCTAGATAGCTTAAATGCCCAGATTAGCTGGTCGCCTTGTATGAAGCTCGTCAGCTCAGCGTCCGTAGCAGCCCAAACAGCCTTGAGGACTTCGCCTATGGTACCCATCGACCTTTTGCCTCAACGCCTTAACGAGAACAGAGCTCGAGTCTCTATGACTTGGCTGTTTCGAAAGCTGAACATAGTGGCTGGAACTAGCGCTAAAGCCCTTCAAGCGAAACTACGTACGAAACTTTTGTTTGTTCGATATTAGTGAAATATTTTGCTCATTGTGCCATAGAGATATAGCACATTTTCATGTCTATCATTTATCACATAATAAATATTTTCAAAATAACAATTCAGTTTAATAATTTGTAGCATACTAAGTTCGAGCAGCACGGGGTTATGTCGACCATACGTTTAGGCTTACCATACGAATTCAAAGTGGAACACACTGTGATCAGCGGGAATAATAATAAATGACGTTTCCTCTTCTTTATTTTTAGGCGAAATCATCTAAAACGACCCTGCAAGTATACAACCGATCCGTCCTTTATTATTTGATAGAGAAAAATTAACAATATAACAAAAAATGACTTAACGTGTGAATTTTTCACCGATACTATGTTACGTTTAACATGCACAAACAAAGCTCGTTTGCAACCCATTTTATTTTTTACCCAGTACCAAGATTTTCTATGCAATGCATACGATGTGTTGTTTAGCTCACGTTATCAGACCAAGGTCGGGTGATTCGTACTGGGCTAAAATTGCATTGAAATAATTATAATTACTAGCAAATATGGTGGTACTTGAACAGTTATACCTGGCTTTATCGTCAAGGGCGTCAAGTTCCAATACAGACAAGTTTCTCGAAATAGCTTTTATTTATTTAAAAAGAAAAACATACAACGCTATTGCTATTTACACAACTATTATAATACATAATATTTCAGAGAAACATTTTTTGTGTAAACTGTCTATGGTTCGAATAATAAAGGCATGTAAAATAGACGAGAGAAAAAAAAAGTACGAACAGCTTTTTTTTTTTTAAATCTCAAAAGGCTTCTACAAAACAATGTAACAACAGTACCAGCAATAATAATTTCCGCGAAATACAACAATACGCGTACATATTTACAAATTCAGGATGTAACATTTGAGGATAAACTTTGTAAAACTATTACTTGTAAGAGAAGACCAATTCATTTTGGAAACAAGCAACCGACCGCTTTTGTAGTCAAAGCTGAAAGCAGTTGGTATACAGGCGCCGGACAAAACATCAAGTTCGTATACTTCCTTTTTCTCTGCCCGAAATTGATGGTCTACGTTTTGGCGGTTTTCGTGTAGCTTCTGAAAGAACGAAGAAGAACGTTCATGAAGCAAACCTGAAAATCTTTACAACTAAAGTTTAGCTTTAAAAGATTCGAAGATTAATCAAAATGGCTCAAAAATTATTTTATACACTTGGGTTTTTGATAGAAAAATTAGCAGCAGAAAAACACGTTTTAGTTTTTGAAGCTTTTGGCCTTTGGGAGCTTTGACATATCTGGGACCTTTGACCTGTTACCACCCGAACACTTGATTCCATAGGAATATAACGTGTCAAAGATGAGTTTACGCCTTCTAATATCGTTCACACACGGCTATGAATAGAAAGCTGTACACGGATTAAAGAAATAATAATAAGGGAAAGTGGTTTAGATTCCGAACTTATATTATAACTTATATATAATATAACATAACAGAACGTCTTAAGACGTGTGAAAAATTGTTGTTTTTGGTTTAGATCTAGTATTATAATCAACTCGTAAAAGCTCCATTTCAGATTGCGTACCCTCTATATATGCAAATTTCAAAGTGAACGGCACGCAAATACTTGTAGAGAATAAACAATAGATCCACCTTATGTCTTCCCGTTAAATAGGTTCATTTACCTTTATTTTTTTTACCAAAGTTTTTTTATTTCTCTATGCATTTTTGTGTGTTTTAGACGCTCCCGATAGTTCTCTACCGGGTCAAAATTTCAAAATTGATAAATTCAAACTTAGCAGAGTTATACATATATATATATATATATATTCCAGAGAAGTTAGGACACATTTCGGTGATCTTTCCTGCATAGCGGGAATATGTTCGATACAATGGAGACAGCCAGTTACTTCTAAAGCAAAATC